TCTTCCTGGGCTGGTGGAGGAGCGAGAGAGCGACTGAGAGAGCTGACCCAGAGAGAAGGACAGGCTTCGGTTGCTTCCTCCCTCCCCTTCTTTCATTTGTGTCCTTGATCCCCGATCCCAGCAGCATTCACCGAAGGTGAAGAAAGCCGCCATTTTTTTAAAAAAAATTCTTTGCGGCCCGGTAGAGAGTGCTCCACGGCCCGGTACCGGTCCGCGGCCCGGTGGTTGGGGACCCCTGGTGTAAACCTAACTATCCACGTGGACTCCAGCAGCCTTGAACCCTTTTGGGGGAACGGGCAGGAATGTATCCATGACTCAGAAGCCCCCAAGGCGGCTGCCACTTCCTGCGCCCTCCGCGAAAAAACCGAGGAAAGGAACGGCGCTGGGTGGGGGTTTGTGTGCGATTCCACACGTTGTGAGAATCCAACCCGTTTCTCTTGACTACGTGAACTCGGCTGTCACAGGAAGCACTAGTGCAACACGTGTGGATGCCGCACACGTTCTGGGAACGCAGCAGTGGTGGCTGCGGATTGGGGGTGAGGATTTGGAGCAGGGGCCTCCAACCTTGGCCACTTTAAGACGGGTGGACTTCAACTCAGCCAGCTTTGTGGCCAAGATTGGAGGCTCTCATTTGGAGTAAGGCACAACCCCAGTCCGAGAGGATCGATCACACTCAAGAGGGCAAGGCAGGAAGACAGAATTCTGAACACAAGGAATTCGGAATTAGCTCTAGATCAGTGAGATGGGAAATGGATATGGTGGGAATGGCAGGTCGATGGTCCGAAGGGGGGAAAACGAGAGTCGGCAGGTAACACCCTGAGCCTGAGCAGCTGCTTCTGAGGAAGGGAAAGGAGGGCGAGGGGCGGAAGAGAGGAAAACGGTTTTCTTGCCGGAAGGTGGCTCCTCCCCGGGGTGCCTCTCGAAAGCTCTGAGACCCCGCTGGAGTCGCGCCAAGGAGGGGAGGGAAGAGGGGCTCCAACCGGCTTTGGGAAAGTTATTTATGAGAACTTTAAAAGGGCACGAAGCGTTTAGAGAATAAAAATGGAAAAGGCCTGGAAACTGAAAGCAGACATTCCTCTCGTCTTGGGCCAAAAGATGCTCCTGCCAAACCAGGCTCATCTGCTCAACAGCAGCCCCACAAACACACACACACACACACACACACACACACACACACACACCATCCAAGAGGCAAGTCCAAAGTATGTCGGGCGTCTTGTAACTTTCGTAACTTTTTGGCATTGCTAGGAACAAAATCTCCCAGGGAGAAAGGAAAGCGAAACATTTTCATGAGAAGAAGAACCGGGGTGACACGACAGCAGTGTGTCCCCATATTGGAGGGGCTGTTCGTAGACAAGGAGAAGTCCACCTCTTCTCCAAAGCCCCAGAAGGCAGGACGAGAAATCACAGAGGGAAACTAACCCAGGAGAGAAGCAACCTGGGAGAAAATAAGGAGGAATTTCCCAGCAGGGAGGAGGAGAAGTTGCCCCCAGAGGTGAGGGATGCTCCATCACAGCCAGAAACGGTCTCAGGCAGAAGCCTCCAAACTTGGCAACTTTTAAGACTTGTAGACTTCAACTCCCAGGGTTCAACTCCACAAGTCTTCAGTTTGCCAGGGTTGGGGACCCCTGGTCTAGGGTCTCCTGCTTGAGCAGGGGGCTGGACTAGAAGACCTCCAAGGTCCCTTCCAACTCTGTTATTCTGTTCTATAAAAGCCAGAGCCCAAAAAGCCCAAGCAATCCTCCCCTCCCTCAAAATCACCAGCCTGTCCCCCTGAGACCTCAGCAGCCCATGGCAGGGGGTCCCGAGACCAGGAGGCACGTCCCACCCAGGGCTCCCAATCCGGCCTCCCTCCCGCAGCATCTGGCTCCCATACGGCCCTGGGGGAGGCGCTTGGGGAGGCTCTGCACGCTGACAGGGGGCGCAAGTTCTTTGGGCGGCCAGGCCCACCTGGGTTCCATTTAGAGTATTTACAGCTTCCCACAACCGCTTCTCCTCCACTGCTGCCCCGGGGACCCTCCCCTCTGCGGCTGGTTTCACTCAGTCTTGGGCTGAAGACCCTCCGCGCCCGCTGTGTTTTCTCCCGGGGAGGGGAGGGGAGGGGAGGGAGGGGCTGCAAAACTGCCAAGCCTCAGCAGAACAGCCTGGGGGGGGGGGGAAGAGTTGTGGGGCCTCCCGACTGACTTAGACGTGGAGGCCCATCAACGCTGGACGGTCCCAAGGGAGCGTATGAAGCAGCCCATCCTAAGCTCAGCCCCCCCTTTCCCCCCCCACCCCCAGGGGCTACGTCCCTACCCCAAAGGGGAGAAATCAAGTACGGTACCAGTGCTTGGGGGTCACCTGGCTCAGGCTTATGACTTCGTCCAGGATTTCGTTCTTGGCTTTTTCAAACAGCTCGTTCTGGGCGGAGAGAGGCAGAGAGTTAGCGAACGTGGGAAGGGGGAACGAATCAGGTGCCGGAAGAGGTGAGGGGGACGATCCCTGGAGTGGAGTGGAGACACCAGCCTCTCCTGGGGACTTAGGTCCTCCACTGGGGGCCCTGAATTGGGCGCCTCCCCCCCCCAAGCGCCTCCTTTAGGCAGGGCAAAGGCCGGCAGCACCAAGAGCCCTGCCTCTCCACCCCCCGACCTGGCCTCACCCGGCACCTGCTCCTTCCAGAGCAGACCCCCTCCATGCAGGCGCCTGTAAAGGGTGTGTGTGTGTGTGTGTGTGTGTGTGTGTAACTACCACTCCTTTCCTCCCTGGTGGGAAAGGCCAAGGGCTGCAGTGGCTAAACTTCCCAGGGGTCCCAAGGCAGCTGGGGCCAAGATTCCCCCCCTTCGGGCTATTATGGGGGAAGGAGAGGCTAGTGCTGATCTCTCTTCCAACTTCAGACTTTCTGTGCCAGTTTGATTAATGAAGGAAAATCTTTCTAGCTCAGGGCTGAGATGGGGGCTCCTGGGGGCTTCTCTGAGCTTGGTGCTTTTCTTGCAGACGTTTCATGACCCAGCTAGGGAACATCATCTGTGCTAAGAAGCAGCAGAGTTTCCCTAACCCCAACCCCACTCCTTACTAGCACAGATAATGTTACCTAGCTGGATAATAAAACGTCTGCAAGAAAACAACCAAGCTCAGAGAGCATCAAGGACCCCTCAAGTCTGATGAATTAATTATACTGTGCAAGCTTTAATTTTGTGGTACACAACCGTGGTGGCAAGTGAATTCAACCAACCGATCAGGGCGTTTTAACTTTGCAGGGAGAGAGGAGGAGGCCAGACAGCCGCCTCTCGTCCGGGACTGAGGTCAGTGCTGGGCTCCGTCTGGAGCAGGCTTTTGACCCTCCACCCCACCCCAAAATGCCTGGCTCCAGAGTGAGCCCCTGCACGATCAGATCTAAGCCTTTCCCCCGCCCAGATCCCTCAAGCAGCCCCGGGGAACTCCATCAAAACTTCAAACAGTCATTGAGAAACTGGATATAAGTTGAGACCTACCTGTAATTGTGGAAGGTCTACACCGGGGGTCTCCAACCTTGGCCCCTTTCAGACCTGTGGACTTCAACTCCCAGAATCCCCCAGCCCAGGGTTTCTCAACCATGGCCACTTTAAGACTTGAGGACTTCAGTTGGCTGGGGAATTCTGGGAGTTGAAGTCCACGGGTCTGAAAGGGGCCAAGGTCAGCCATCCAGGGGAGCCACTGACACTCCCGAGGCCCAGAAGAGACATTCAAGAGGCTTTGAGGCAGACGGGAACTCACCCGGTCCAGCTCTCGCAAGCGGGGGTAGTTGTTCTTCCACTCGGTTTCCAGATTAAAGCGGGTTGCTGGGAAAGAAGAGAGGGTTCCTAGCAGCGAGAGCCACACCTCCCTGCTTGCTAGCCCACTTTCCCCCTGACCGGGCCCTTCGGCTGCAGGATAGGGCTGGGAAATAAGGCCGCCTTCCTCTTCAAAAGCTGTATTCCACTGGCATATTCTGGCAACCCAATGAACCCTGGGGACGCTTTAAGGCAGCCCACCCAGGACATCCAACCTCTTAGGAATCTGTCCACCAATTGGTTGGGCTGGCAATATATAAACCAACAATGTATGTTTGTAGCTTTAAGACAAAGTTACTGTATTGATCTGTCCTATGTTCCGATTGGTTGATTGTATTGTGAATTGCCATAAGAGGGAGCTGGAGATCATGGCTTGCTCTCGCTGACATTCTGTTGCTATCTAAGGTTCTCTGTTGTGCTTATACTTCGATATCTTTGTTTACTGGAAATGAGAAAGGCAACCGGTTGGCAAGAAGATTTTGTAATTGGATATTCTTGGGACTGTTAAAGGTATATGACCTGGACCGTTTATTGGACTGTGCTATTTCTTAAAGTAAACCTTAACTCGATTTAGTGTATCTGTGTGTGGCTGAATAATTATAACTACTCTCATAAACGTCTTCATGCGCATATCCTTGTTACTCAAGGGTTATTTTGTACATATCGTAACATAACCCATGAAAGTATCCGTAAGCAGCATCATTAAGGTCAAATAATCAATTAGGAATAGTAACGGGAAAAGAAATAACACTTGTTAGGAACGTAAGTCGCTTCACAGTTGGGTTGGAAATATAGAAGGCAGGATAGAAATTTTAATACTGTCTCTTCAAGGGAATGCTCAAATTGTAATTGGGTGTGGTTCCTCAAACAGCCATAAGATGGAGCCAGAAACCTGGTTTCCGAGTGTTGCCTTTCCTGCATTTCCCTACTGACTGCTGCCGGTTGTCCTTATTCTTGGATTTGATGCGAGTCTTTTACTGAACTGTTTATGGTACTGGACTTTTGTTATGGGATTATCCCTGGACTGAATACTGGCTCCGTTTTGCTATACAGTGGATCTGTGTGCTGGCTGTGTGTTATTCTTCACTACTCTCACTACGTCTCCCTGTGTGCGCTCATTCTCCTAACGGGGAATGACCTCAACCACACTCCTAGAGCACAGGACAAAAATAGACGTTAAATTGAAATGGGAAAACCGTGACGGTTAATTAGCCACCAGAGACGGGCAGTTTTAACTGGGAGCAGCCCTTCCTGCCCTCCCCACGGTCTGAGAGCCACGAAGCCGACCCCTCTGTGGCTGGAGAGGCTCCCTTGGACAGCTGCCCGGCCAGGTTTTTGGCGGCTGAGGGGGGGTCCACGCCTGCTCTCCCCCTGGAAGGTTGATTTAGCCTTTTGTCCTTCCGAGGTGGGTGAAATGGGGGTGGGGCCCGCAGAGGGCTGGAAAGCCCCGTGAAGCGGCACTGAAGTCTAAGGGCCGGGGCTATGGCTATTCCCTGGGCCATCCAAGGAGTGGGGGGGTTCCCTTTTCTCCCGCCCCTCGTGCCTGGGAACGGCCCGGGGCACTGAGGGGACGTCCTTTCCCCTGAGCCAACGTTTTGGCCCTGGATCATGCTCACCCTGCCCTGGGAATGCCCCAAATCTCCAGGTGCCCCAGAGGGAGGGCAGCCCTGCCCTGCAAGGCCTCTCCTGCCTTTGGCCTCCAGAGCGTTTGGTCGGAGGGGGAGTGTCACTCGATTCTCTGCTTTCCCTCTGGCTCCGAGGGGCTTCCCCAAGTCGACTGCAGCCGTGACAGAGCCGCGAATGAGCTCAGCCGAGCCCTGAGTGCAGATCCTGTCCACCCAAAGGGTTACCCAAGACCTCCTGAGATATCTAGAGCCCCTTTTCTGCACCCAGAGGCAGAGGAGCAACAAGCCGGCCTGGGGCCGCTTCACACCAAGCCCCCGACCCCAGTCTGGTCCCAGCCCCCCCACTGAACAAGCGGCCCCCTCACCTTTGAAAGCATCCGCCTGCTGCTCCACAGACTCCCGCACCATTTTCCAAAAACAGTCGGACACGGCTAGGCTGAGGTTCCGCGTGGTCACCTGGTGGGGTTTCAGCATGCAGTTCCTGGGGGGAAGGAGGACTCAGGGTCAGGGCCTCCTGTCTCCCACCACCTTCCCGGGACCCCTTCCAGCCCGTTTCTGTGGCCCCCCAGGGTGGGGCAGCCAGGGCAGCTTCGGGACCTGTGGACTTCCAACTCCCAGGACTCCTGAGCCAGCTGTGCTTTTGAGAGCCCCGAGGCTGCTGCAGGTGCCCCACCTCTCCTCCGCACCTGCTGGGGCCCCTTCTGACTTTCCGCCTTGGGACAGTTAACACCCCCCCCACCCCCCAATTTTATATGACCCGCAACCATGAGCTTCCTTCCACACCTTCGCCCATGTCACGGACGAGGGACGGAGGAGCAGGACGCTCACAAGCCTGGCAGGATCTGATGGCCACTCAGATATGTACAAACAGGGAGCCCTCGACTTACGACCACAACTGAGGCCAAAAAATGTTGTTGCTATGTGGGACAGGTATGGAATTTTATGACCTTTCCTGCCAGCGTCGTTAAGTGAACCACGGCCGTTGTGAAGTTAGCAACACGGTCGTTCAATGAATCTGGCCTCTTCCTCGCTGACTGTGCTTGTCAGAAGGTCACAAAAGGGGATGATGTGAACACCCCCCCCTCCCGGGGGACGCTGCAAACTGTCATAAATACGACGGTTGTCAAGTTGCCAAACATCCAAGCTTGGATCATGTGACCCTGGGGACGCCGCTGCAACGGGCATTAAGTGTGAAAAACGGCCATAGGTCACTTTATTCCATGCTGCTGTAACTTCGACTGGCCAGGTGTCTCCAGCCTTGGGCACTTCAACCCCCAGAATTGCCCAGACAGCTTTGCTGGCTGAGGAATTGTGGGAGCTGAAGTCCGAAGTCTTGAAGGGGCCAAGGTTGCCCCCCTAAATGAATGGCTGTTGAGTCAGGGACTACCTGTGGTCCAGGTTTCTCCCACGTGACCCACATTTAACCAGCATGCTAATCAGGATTTGCAGAATATTCTGTCACAGGCTCCGCAGAAGGAACACGATGTCTGCAGCCTTTCCACCACCTCCAGTCCAAACAGGAGAGATCAGCCCAGCCAACCCAGAGCGGCTCCTGGCCATTCCCGCCTTGGTTTCCAGGTGCTCCCCCCTCCACTCCTTCATCATCTCCTTCCAGAACGTTCCCCCAGGCTCAGGTTCCCCAGTTCTCCCAAGACGGCCCAGACATGAAGAGCCATGATTGGGCAGGACAACCAACCGGTCCCTTCAGCGCCTCAGAGCTCAAAGCCTTTTGGAAACTCAACCTCATGCAAGAAAGGCCTCTGCCTCGCCCCTGGCTGGAGATAACTGGGGCCAAGGGGGTGGGGTGGGGTGGGGGCTGCTCTGCGTTTCCTTCTGGCACTTTGTCCTCTTCCTGGGGTGCTGGTTGTATTCATTCATTCATTCATTCGTTGAATTTATATAGCCCCCTACTCGTCCACTGCGACTCAAGGTTTTCCTCTTCCTTTGGTTTTAAGCGTAACAAAACCAAGGAACCCCCACAGAGGCTGAGAAGGCTGGGCAAAACCCAGAGAAGCCGGAGGGCGGCTGGAAACGTCGTTGTGCGGAAGGGAGCAGGGGCAGGTGGACGGAGGCTTTTGCTGGTGCCAAGTTGCGCCAGACTCTCTGGGATCCCAGGGCTCGCCAGATCCCCGTCCCCCAGTGTCTCCTGGGGTTGGACCAAATTCACATCAATGACATCTCCTTCCCCTGAATCCTCCAGACACTCAATTCTCTGCCTGCCTTGCCAAGCGAGATACTGCCCGGCCAACGAAAGGCTTCACAGCCTCAACCATTCCGAGCTATGCCCTCCAGACCAGGAAGGCAATCTTTAGAAAACCAAGTCAAAGCCTACTTCAATAGCTTGGAGTTTTGGAAAAATTCCTCTTCATAGTCCCTAATAGATTCGATGCTTTCACTGCTGTTTCCTAGAGAAAGAGAAAAAAGCCACTGAGACCAGGCCATGGGGGAAAGAAGGGCCCGCGGCTGGACAAACGCCCGCCTACACGTTGACCCCTGGGGTAGGGCTGCATTGCCATTATCCTCCTCATTTCCCCCTACCACGAATGGTATCATATTGGGGTGATTGTTGCTCTGTTGCTTTGCATGCACCCCGAGAGCTTCTGCAACAGAGACAAATTCTTTGTGTGTTTAATCACACTTGGCCAAATATTGCCTCCCCTCCCCTCCCCCACCTTTCCATCCCATGCCATGTTTCACCGACCTTTCCCAGTAACCACGGCAAAATACCCGAGAGCCTTCATGGGGAAGAGCTTGCCTTCGATGATCTGCTGAATCTGCGGGGGGGGGGGGGGGGAGAGCAGCAGCTCAGGATGCTGGGTTAGGGGGTCCTGGACTCCCTTGGGCAAAACCCTCCACCGTCACAAGGCGCCCTTGAGATCTGGCCCAGCTCCGCCCTCTGCTCAGGACAAGGGCCAACAGCAGCTCCACTGACAAACAGAGCTGAGCCCGGAGGCTGTAAGTGGAGGCATCGCATGGTTGGACCTGGGCTTTTTTGGGGACATTTTTGCATCGTTAAGCAAATCACTTTTCCCAAATGGAAATGCCACAAACTGGAACTAAATGCCAGAAACCTGCAAATAACACCTCAAATTGCAATCACGGGATTGAGGGATGCTGTTAAGAGTCATACAGGGAGTTGGTCATCGAGGGCCCAACATGCAATCCTGTGGCTCTGTGTGTGTGTGTGTGTGTGTGTGTGTGTGTGTGTGTGTGCGCTGTAATTTCAAAAATGGATCGTAAGTAGCTTTTGGAGGGGTCCAGCATAACTCTGAGTGGTCGTTAAGCAAGCAGTTGTAAGGCCTACCTGTAAAGCATCCCGGCCCAAGGCTCGCTGTCCACCCCTTTCAGGGTGGAGGGCCTGGCCACACCCTCTCCTCCGCAGCCCAGGCATTGGGGCAGAGGCCTCAAGTGGCAGCCTGGAGCCAGGGAGGGTGAAAGTGGCCCCCGGCACAGCCAGGAGGAATCTGTGACCTTCTGCGCCACCTGGCTGTGTCCAAAGTGGAGGGCAAAGCCTCAGGGATGCCCCCAGACCCCAGCTGCATGCCCAGGGCGTTTTGCCCGGGGCAGGGGACTCCAAGCTCGGCCCCTTGAAGACTCCTGGACTTCAACTCCCAGAATGCCCGGCTGGCTGGGGAACTCCGGGAGGCGAGGTCCACAAGCCTTAAAGGGGCCAAGATGGGAGAGCCCTGCTCTGTGGGCCCTTCCCTGTCAGCACACCGGCCACGAGGCCCATTTTTCCTACAGCTTCAGAGTTACACGGAGGGGAAGATGCACCCAGAAGACATAGAACCGTTGCCCACCTCAGAGAAGGGACCAACTTCCCACAGAAGAAAAAAATCTCCCCTAGTCAAGGTGGCAAAATGACAGACCCCAAATCACAGAATCTTCCTGGTAAATTGGGCCAGAACTCCCCCCCCCCCAGTTATTCCTAACGGTTAACAAGCAGGAGCTGCTTCCCTTGGGAACAGGGGGATTTTCCCTTCCGCTGGCGGAGGAACCTCTGCTCCGTGAAGCCCCCTTACACACACACACACACACTCCCTCCCTCCCTCCCTCCCTCACCCTGCTGGGACTGGCCACGTTCTTCTCCGCCAGGTCCACTTTGGTCAGCACGAAGATGGTCCTCTTGCCCTGGGGGTCCATCTGGCTGACCAGGTCGGTGACGATGCTGCGTTCTGCATCTACGGACCCATCTGGGAAGGAGAGCAGAGAGACGGTCCGGGAGGGAAGGGGGGGGCACCGTGACTCGACCTCAAACAGCCGGCGGAGGTGGAGGAGGGCCGGCTGTCTGCCCTGCCTCCCCCCTCCCGCCCCAGGGGGCCCCCCCCCCACCCACCAGCCCAAGACTCCTCCCTGCTTCCTCCTCACCTTGGATGCAGAGGATGATGGCGTTGGGGTTCTGCATGTAGGCCTTGCTGATGCTGAAGATGAGGTCCTTCGTGTTTGCCGCCATCCCCGAGGTCACCGTCTGTGGAAAGAGAGGCTGGCTTTTCATGCCTTGGATGTTTCAATCTGCAGGGCTGGAAGGGACCTTGGAGGTCTTCCAGTCCAGCCCCTGATCAAGCAGGAAACCCTATTTCATTACAAATGGCCGCCCAGTGACGGAGCTCCCACAACTTCTGCAGGCAAGTCATTCTAGGAGTGAAATTCCTCCCAAGTTCCAGGTTGCTTCTTCTCTCCTTGATTAGTTTCCACCCGTTGCTTCTTCACCTGCCTTCAGGTGCTTTGGAGAACAGGTGGACCCCCTCCTCTTCTTTGGGGCAGCCCCTCGGATACTGGAAGGCTGCTATCATGTCACCCCTAGTCCTTCTCTAGGCCAGCCAGGCCCAGTTCCTGCAAGCCTTCCTCGTATGTTTCAGCCTCCAGCCCCCTCATCCTCCTGGTTGCTCTTCTCTGCACACTTTCCAGAGTCTCAAAAATCTTTTTTGGAATGTGGTGACCAAAACTGGATGCTGTATGTCATGTTCTCTGCACTCAGCTTCTCTGCAGCTGCCTTCCGGATGGGGAAGAACTGGCTTCAGTTCCACCTGGCAAGACCCAAGAGGTTGGGGGGGTTTTAAGGCTTCTGGAAACTTTCCATCCCCTCAATGGGATCAGCGCTGGGGCAGAATCTGGGGCTTCCCCTGGACCCAGTTTCTGTTTGAGCTACAAACAAACGACCTTAGAGCTAAAATCTTGAGAGCTAAGCAAAAGGCAGAACTCTAGGTCTGATTTTGGCCATTTTAATTTAAAACACACATTTCTTTAGAATAAAGACATTTAAAATGTATTTTAAATACTGCAGCAGCGCCCCAGCCTGGAAAAGCCCCCCTGCCCTTGGTGCGCACAACGCCCCCTGGGTTGAGAGAAATGGCTCTGCTCCAAATTGTCCCTGGGCTTCCACCGCTGAGCGTGGACCTGAATGTGGATCCAACTCTGCCCATAATGCTGCTCTGCTTTCCTTCCAAAAAACCCCGTGTGTGTGTGTGTGTGTGTGTGTGTGTGTGTGTGCGTGCGCGTCTTTCATCCAGTGCCAGATGGATGGCAGCACCACCATTTTGCAGAGTGTCAGCTGCCACCTCACACTTGCCTATGCTTCGTTGTGATGTAGTGACGGCCTGTCGTGAACTATGGAGAAGGGGGACGAAGGGGGGAATGTTTGGGAAATTGAAAGTAGAGGTTATGCCTTCTGGAGAAGCTGCTTCAAGGTCGCCTAACTGGAAGAAGGAGGGAGCGGCGTAGCAGAGCACCCTGGAACCGACCGTTATGAAAACATCTTGCAAGATTTTAATTGGTTTCCTTGGGGTGGGAAATGAAAGGCAGTCAAAGAGGAAAAAGGATAACGTAGGGATTTGGGCAGGCGCATCTCAGTTCCGGCTCTGCATGACTGCAGGTGCTTTTTTTTCTAGAGGCACCTGGACTTTCTGGTTTTTCCTTTGAAGACGTTTTGCTTCTCATCCCAGAAGCTTCTTCAGTTCTGACTGGATGGTGGGGAAGGGAAGGACTGATATGAAAACGTCCTCAAAGAGAACCAAAGAAAATCCAGGTGCCTCTTGAAAAAGCACCTTTGGGACAACCAGGAACCGGATGGCCGAGAAGCGCCACACTTAGAGGCCGAAGCTTGTGGCAGGTCGGACGCAGGGAAGTGAGGCTGAGGGAACGAAGCCCCCCCAGCCCCCGTCCCCTCGGCCCCCGCGTTGCAACGACCCCCCCTCCAGCCCCCTCCGGACACTCACACTGATGACCCCGGGCAAATCGACCAGCACCATCCTCTGCAGGCCAGGACCCTTGACGCTGAGCGAGATGGTCTGCAAGGGAAACAGCGCAGCTTGAGCGAGAGCAGAGCCCGGGGCGTTTCTGGAAAGGCCCCCGTGGAAGTGGGAGGGGGCTCCGGGGCCTCACCTCCGAGCTGACGGTGCAGCCGCTGCCCACGCTCTTCTTCATCCGGATCTCGATCTCGTGCCGCAGGGCCGCCAGCTGTTTCAGCGGAAGCAGAAAGGGGCGGAGTCAGAGGGAGGGAGGGAGGGGCTGTAGGAACTGGAAGGGGGCCCGAGGGGCCCAGGGGAAGGCACCCCAGGACACGGCCACCAGGAAGAGAGCAATCAGGCTGCCGGTAGTCCTTGACTTACGACCCTGCATTTAATGACCGCTCAAAGCTATGATGGCACCGAAAAAGGCGACTTACGACTGGTCCTTGCCGTTAGGACTGTCCCAGTGGCCACGCGATCAAAATCCAAGTGTTTAGCAACCTCCGTGTGCAACGTCAAATGCGACCGCCCTCGGCAACCTTCCCAGCCGGCTTCCCACAGGCGAAGCCAGTGGAGGGAGCCGCTTCGCTTAACAACTGGGGGATTCCCTTAATCCCAGGGCCAAAAATGATCATAAAATGGGGTCTGATTTGTCCTGGAAGTTCCGGTCCCAACTGAGTTTGTAACTTAAGGAATGGACAGGAGAGGCACCCAGCAGGCTTACGGGGGAGTTTATATGGATTCGGGGGTGGGGTCTTTACCCATAAGCAGACCCATCTAGAGAACCCCTGAAATGACCCTGGGCCTGCCCACTTCCTCTGCAACTGGGCCAATTCTGTTCACTGAGAAGAGGCTGCTTGGCAACGAATCACTTGAACTGGACCTCCGTGTGGGCAGCTGATCTCTGGCCCTTGACACCGTGCCATGGTCCGAATTCACGGGGAAAAGGCTCCAGACGTTTCCCCCTCACCAACTTCTCCCAAGAAGGGGAACTGGGAGACAGAGCTAGAATCCCCTAGAAGCGCCAGGCGCTCCAAGGCCCTAGAAGGGAGGGAGGGGCACCGCAGCCTCTTCCAGCCACACAGACGTGGCCCCTCCCGCAAGGAAGCCTCCGGCCGGGGCCCCTTCTGGAGGGAGCCGGCTTCTCCTGGCACGGACCGACTGGACTTCCTGGCAGATCGCCCACCCTACAGGGATGGTGGGGGATGATTGAAAGCCCAAACAAAGCCCAGCGCAAACCCTCCGGGCAGCGTCCTGTTCCTTGAAACTCACGTCTTCCTCCTTGTTCAAATCGAACTCCCGAGAGCTGTCCTTGAACACGGCCACGTGGTGGGGGCCTTCGCTGAGGGTCACCTGAGGCCCAAAGGGGATTCAGAAAAGGGGAAAGGGTTAAAACACCCGAGTGGATCTCCGGGGGGGGGGGGCAGGCTCTCCTCCTGGAAAGCCCACTGTTTGGTGGACCGCAGTGCCCCTACCTTGACCGGTGAGCGTGTCATCATTTCTCCGGAGCCCCGGGGGAAGATCCGGGCCTGAGCCACCATTTCCAGCACGCTGGTTTTGCCAGCACTCTGGTCTCCCACCACAACCACCTGAAAGGCAAGTGCTGGGGTTTGTTTCCCACAGAGACAAGAGGGTTTCTCCTGAGGTGGGACAAGGGGGGGGGGGGGCGCCAGAATCCTGCTTCTACGCCAGGCAGATCCCTGAAGGGCACAGCAGGGCGTTTCAAAAGTGCCACTAGAGACGCTCCAATGACGTCAGGAGAGACAAAATTCCACCCAGAGACAGTCTACTTGGGATGCCCCCAAAGCAGCCAGTTATTGCCTACCCTAACAGTCTGGGCTTTTCCCACTATAGACACCGCTTTACGGTGCTTTGACTGGCCTCTCTCAGCGGTTGACAGAACCAGCATTATTTGCCCCTAACCAGCCGGGTCCTCCTTTGACCCACCTCGGAAGGACGGAAGGCTGAGTCAACCTTGAGCCTGGTGGGATTCGAACTGCCCAATTGCTGGCAGCCGACAAGTCAGCAGAAGGAGCCCGCAGTCCTGCACTCTAACCCCTGCGCCACCACGGCTCGTAGCATCCTTCCTTTCCCCCACAGCTCAAATGGAAGACGTTAAAGCTACCCACTTTCACACCCTGACTGCAAATGCCAGCCCCACGATCGTCTGACGCCTGGCCAAGAGCCACCCCGGCCTGCATGGAAATTGCCAAGCGAAACGCCTTAAAAGCAAAATCAAGAGAGTCCAGTTGCCTTTGGGGGAAAAAGCCCCCTTGGGACAACCAGGGCCTGGAGGACGGAGAACCTCCACCGATCCTCAGGGCTGAGTGACAGCTGCCTGTATCGTCCTGATGCTTCTGACCAGAATGAAGGGAAGTGTGGACGCAGAGGCTCATCTCCGACTCACCCGAGGCAAATGGTCGTGTGTATTGTAGCTGGCATCGTAGTCTGACAGAGTATCCAGGACTTCGGAGTACATGTCAATCAAAGATTTCTAGGGGAGGAACAGTGAACTCAGGGAGGGAAGCCGAAGCCCAGGAAAGGAGGAAGGTTACCCCAATCAGAGATCCACGCTGAGCGCCAGTGCAGCGCAGAGCAGCCGTTGAGGGGCTGGAGTGGGAAGGAAGGGAGGTTGTGGCCCCGGTCGCCCGAAGGACTCTGACCGGTGGGGTCTAGGCGGAGGGGCTTCCCCGCCACGGCCACCCACGGGAGGGGGTGCTTTTAGCCAAGCGAAAACCGCCACGAGGAATAGCGCAGGAGCAGCCACTCCCCCCCACCCCCCCTTGCCTCCCTTACCTTCACCTTCCTCTGATGAATGCCCTTCTCGTCCTTCTGCAGGACTATCTTCCTCAGCTCTTTGTTCTCCTTCTCCAGGCGCTCCAGCATCCGCTGGTATTTCAGCTGCAAAGAAACCCAAGTGGGGAAGGTGAAGGGAGGGGAGGGCAGGAGGAGAGGAGGAGGAGGAGGCAGGAGGCAGGGGGAGGAATCAGGCTGCTGCTGCTGCTGCTCTCTCTGACTCAGCCCAATGACGAACAATAACGTAGCAAGTAAAACAGAATAGCAGAGTTGGAAAGGACCACGGAGGTCATCTAGTCCAACCCGCTGCTCCAGGAGGAGACCCTATATGGTGTCAGACAAGTGGCTGTCCAAACTCTTCTTGAAAACCTCCAGTGATGGAGCACCTACAACGTCCGAAGGCAAGTCGTTCCACTGGTTATTTGTCTTCACTCCCAGGAAATTCATCCATGGTTCCAGGTTGGATCTTTCCTTGTTTAGTTTCCATCCATCGCTTCTTGTCCAAAAGATCTTGGATTCCTTTCTCCACAACATTGTGCTTTGCTTCCCAGGAAAGGTGGAATAGTTGGTACTTTTAAGAGGTAGCTGGGGTCCCCCTCAACCCTGACCTGGCCTTTCCCCAGAACCGTTCCATCTTCTGGAAGGGGAAATTAACCGGGGCCATTCATGGGGATGGAAAACCCGCCGTAGCTTCATGGTTACAAACTGGCTCTCACCTGGGTGGGCAGCCTGGGCCTCCCACAGTGCCCAAAGGGGGGGGGGTCACATGGCTGTCAAAAACCCCCTTCTGGGAAGCCAAAATCGCTGGTAATGCAGGTGGCCCCCACAATTGAAGAGGGAGCCACATGCTTAATATTTAGGATAGAAGTAGTTAACCGTGACAACTCTAAGACTGGTGGACTTCAACCCTCCCAAATTCTGGAAGTCCACCTGTTTGGTTAAAGTGCAAAAATTGGATACCTCTGGTTTAGGATTTTTTTTTTTTTTTTGAGACTGACAGAAATATCCCAATTAGTACGAATGTGCAGATAAATGTTATATTAAATGGCATTTCCCCCACTCCACAAACTTCAATGGCAAAATAAAATGCAGAGGGTTAGAACTGAAGAGATATTTAAAATATCCCAGAAGACTTTCTGCCAGGTCTAAAGAACCAACAACATACGAAGTTCCTTCTGAGTAGTTCCTTTATTTCCATTTGCCTACAGACAGAATCTTGCCGGACTAAAGCAACTGTCTGCAATGACCATAGACGACACCCCCTGTGAATTGCTAGGGAAGGTCTGTCCTTGCTTTCTTCCTGCCCACCGGACCCCTCAAGGTCTGCTGCCTCTTCATCCTCTGGAAGGGAGACCCCAAACTAAGTTCTACCCATCTGGATCTCTGGCTTCATGCCCCCTGCCCCCTGCCCCCCCCCCCCAAGCCTGGCCAATCTGGCTCTCCGCTGGTTCTACAGGGCGGGGGGGGGGATCTCTCCCAGAGAGCAGCAGGATCCCCAGGGGATCGAGAGTTCAGTGAGGGCTACACTGATCTGGCCTTGTTTTTTTTTTTTCTCCCCGCAGCTCATCTGGCCAAATAAGATTCTGGCCTCTCAACCACCACAGCCTTCCCCTTACCTGCGTTCGTAGTAATTCTTCCTGGAGCTGATCAACCTTTTCTTTATCAGAAACCTGCAACAGAAAAAGGACACAGAACGCATGGTGGGCATTTCAGATGTTACCCATGTCTGTATCGCGGGATAAAAATTGATTTAGCCTTTTATTGTTTCGATCTTTGTTAGACTGACGAGTCTTGTAGGAGTGGGTGGCTGTACAAGTTGAAATTATAAATTAAAAAATATATATTTCAGATGCAAGAGATCATAAGCTGTAAGAGTCATTGTTTTACAAGAATAGGGTCAAATCTGACAGCTTGGACTTGAAAGCAAACTCATTCCTAACAGCATTTGGCTATAATTAATGGCTGCTATGCTTTTACTCAGGTGCCTTATTTCTAAAAGCCGCTGTGGATTTATTAGCACTGCAGCTCGAGAAAGCTGCTAACCTCGGGAACTGTGTTTTTCTAAATGAAAAGACCTTTCAAGTACGCAATAATAATAATACAGTTGATTTCTCCAATTCCATCCATCTCTGCTCAAAAAAAATAAGCCAAGGACTTCCGGTTTGAAGGGCTTCGGCAACAGACAGAAATCCGCGATCGTGCGCGGTTTCTGTCTGGGCTCGCCGCTGGAGCGCCCTGAGCTGGCTGGTTTCGGGGCTAAGCCACCCCGTAGAGGTGGTGAAGAGGGGGGAGACTGCCAGCAGGGTCAAGGAGAGCCACATCTCCCCTCCTCAGCTGGCCATTACTCCCTTTCCCGAAGGCGGTTGGAGTGGTGGTCAGAAATGGCCACCACAAAGAAGAACTCAACCGGAAAAGAATGTGCAGGAGGAAGATAAGAAGTGAAAGTTTTGGCTGACCGGGTTAAATTGTAAAAGCGACAACTAAGGTACCCTGGAATTTAAACTTACAAAAAATAACATCGCTCCCAAAGAAGAGTCGGAAGCAGTGAAGGAAAGCGAAAAGGGAAAGGTTTGGCTTTTTTTTCCTTCTCTCTCCTTCCCTATACTGACAACTAAGAGACTTAAATAAGAAATCGAAAAAATCCGCTTTGACATCAATAGGCAATTAAGCTGAAAATAAAACAAAATGCCAAAGGGATAATAAAGATTTCTGGACATTAAATTTTTTCTTTTTCATAAGCAGGAAGGGAGAGAAAAAGAATAAGGGCAGGATCTGGAAGAGGGAGGAGACTGCCTGGAATTAAAAAGAATCTACAGTAAAACTTCAACAAGACTTCTAAAAGATACATTTTAACTGAAACTTTGCAACTAAATAGTAACCCCAGGAAGAGAAAGTGAAAAAAA